TGGCTTACAATTAAATGGATTTATGTAGTGGGGAATTCATGAATTTTTCATGGGAGGGCAAAATTTAAAAGGCTAAGATTTAGACAACCAATATTATAGCCTATATAATATATCAAGGAAAATATTTCCCTCTTTATCAGGTAAGTAGGAGCTTTTACATTTTTGCCAATAGCAGTGTGATATGTGTACATAAGTTTTTCTTTTTATGTTTTTGATGAATTATTTTGCATATGTGTCAAAATGTGATTCGCAAGAAGGAGGAGTATCTCCTTATCGGTAAGGAGGCAAGTAGTATCCATATATCAATTCATATAAACAAAATCCATATCAACTACACAATTAATCTAAACAAAATCTTTTTAAACGCTTTATAATCCTAATTGAACACACCCCCCTAGTTTATCGAAATTCACATCATGAATTAATCTAAACAAAATCAATATCAACTAATCCAATCAAAATGCATATCAAATTATCAATTAAATAAATAAATCATAATTAAACAAATGTATCAGGAAAAAAAAAACTAGAAGAAAAAAAGTGGCGGTTGATGAAAAGAAAAAAATAACCAGATTTTGACTGCGGTGTGAAGCGCTTTTAAAGCGAACAAGAAGCATAACTATTATAATTGTCAAATTTTCAATTTAAATAATTAGGTTATTTTTGTCATTTCATTGGTTTCGTTAAGATCATTAGTTGACTGCTAGGCAAAGGTGTAATTGTATAATTCTATAAAAAAAAAAATTAATTTTTATAATTTTAATTTTTTATCAAATGTCAAGCAGCAGACCTTAAAAGTGGATGTTATGTTTGAGAAATTGGTTGGCCTTCTAGAAGTTTGCAGTTGGACGGCTCGTTCCTAGCCACATGGCCATTTGAGGGCGGATACTTGTGAGCTAGTCAACAATCCCTAGTTGGATTGTTTCCTCGGTACAACTAGGAGTGCCATATATACATACACTACTACAATTTTAGCTTATACCGACAACCCTCTATGGTCAGTAGAAACCTCATCACTGACGAAAATTCGTCAGTAATGGCTTCCTGGCGAGTGCAGCGGCGGAAATAAGGCTTGTCAGTAAAAGTCCTGTCAGTAATACTAATGCTGACCAACTTTTGCAACTTATTCGTCAGTATAGGTTTGTCTCTGACACAAGTCATAAAGTGACTTTTCAATCTATTACTGACAAAACAAATGGTCAGTATTAAAGAAGCTTTTGTGAGGATTATTGTTTGGATACCAATGGCCAAACATTCGCCAGGATTGTTTCTTAACCAAAATAAAAAATGCCAGGATTGTTTGTCTGTTCAATTCTTTTATGAGCTAATGCACCATTAAATATACTTCCTTCAAATGCCTTTTATTTTGTAATATAATCTGCACATTTTTCATTCCTAATTTTTTTTTTAATTGATATTAAAAATGTAATGACAATTATAAGTACAATACTGAAAGATTGTAGCATACAAGATACAACAACCATTCTTATAAAATATAAAGTACCAATGTGGATTACAATTTACAATAGCCAAATATTACAAAGGTCTGCCTACATCAGTAGAGTTCCAAAACTTTAGTTGCCCAACCTAAGCTCTTCTCCGTGCCTTTAAATTATCAGGACATTCATCTTCAACTAATCCCTTAAAGTTTTCCTGCATTTCAGCCTAACAAAAAACAAAGATACATATTCAGTTCATCATTCTCCATCAAATTATATGGTCATCATAGATTAACCAGACCAATAAAATCTACAATGATGAATTGTACAATTAGTCTTCTGGACCACTACATTTCAGTTTTTCATGTACTTGAACAAATAAAAGAACATAAAGAACAATGAACAAGAAAAAAGATGAAACATTCAAGTGCATCATAAACTTACATATTGAAAAGTCTAATCAGTGAGAAAAATTATCACCACAATTAGCAAAAAGCATAAAATCCAATTCCAAGACCTGTTTTCTTAAAGACTACCTTCTAACCAGCACAATTAGAAAACCCTAAAACCAGCATATAAGATCCTTCCTAAGCATTTAAATATAAAGCAGCACTTGAGTGATACTCAAAACATCGTCTGCATTAATGTAAGCATCATCATCCTCATCATCTAAAACATGTAAAAAACTAAAATAATAAAATCTTTATTGTTTCAATGTAGGCTTTGGGAAAATATTCACCTGCAAAGTTCCAAGAACATCTATGATCCAAACTATTCAAGCTAGCCTAATAAGTGCAACAACAAATCTGATTATTAAACCAAATCAACAACTATCCAAAAGTATTACAAAATGCTTACCTTTTTCTACATATGCTTTGTCCAAATAAAAAATGACAAACTGAAAATCTGCAAAAATCACAGCCTAAAGATTAAAATCTCAAACTGCAAAAAGCACAGCCCATATTTGACAATATGGGTCGAGACCCAGTGGGATGAAATGAAAGACGGGGCAGCATGTAAATGTTGAGGAAGCGATTGGAGGTTCTTTGAGCTAGGAAATACCGGGGAGGTAGAAGAAGACACCACAACCCAAACAAAATAAAACAAAATAGAAGACAAAACCCCCAAAAATAAACAAACAAGCCCCAAACTACAAGAAAATCTTATTCAAATTAAGATACAGAAAGAACCTCTTAATAATTGTCAGTAAAAGATTTAGAAAGTAAAACTCTTATTCTAGTAACCAAACAGAGCATCATCATTGGCATAGATGAATCTTATTCTAGTGTTGTGCATGACATATAATCAACTTAGAGCGAACTACCACCTGAACTTGAAGTCTAAAATGTGTAGAAACCAGAAGACAGAGCACAGGTTCTTATAACTTTAGGAAACCAAAACTAAAGTAGAGAAATGAATTAAAACTAAAGGCTTTATGCATTAGGCACTGATTTCAATAAAAATCACTAATTACAATGGAGCAAGAGATAGGAGCACATATCATCAATAATTGTTCAAGAACCAAAGATTTTAGAGCAAGAGAAACAACAGAAAAGACAATAGCAACAAAATACAAACATAGCCAACACCAATAGTGCAGGCGAAGCAGAACCAAAGGCTAAACCAAGTGTCACAAAGATTATGAAGAAAGATGACAAGGCTGGACTATTACCTCTGTCACACTCTGTCTTGCCAACAAATATTCAAACAATAAAACCTTAAATTAGACCAGGGCATCACTTCGAACAAAAACCATGGGATTAAATTCTAAAAAAAGATTGCTTCAATTTCATCACATCCAAAATAAAATAATCAAATACTCAAACGTAACCCTAAAATCAAATAGAAGAAGCCAAATTTCTTTACAAGGAAATAAAATCAGCGACAATAATCAAATACCCAAACAAAATCCTAAAATAAAATTGAAAAAATGGGAGTTCTTTATGAAGAAAAATAACCAACAACAGTTACCATAAC